CTTATCGGCCACCGAAGCTAAAATTGACTACGCCATTGTAATTGGCGTAACTTTTAGAGCCCATGGTGAAATTTAATTGGAAATTGATTCGGATCAAAATAATTCGAGTAAACTGATTGAATTAGGCTCTATTATTAACCTTAATCAATTTGATTAAGAGAGGGACTATATAAGGGCCTTATTACACTCAACTCTTCATTGCGTGAGCTCAAAAATCCGGTTATACACTCTAGAGAGAGAGAGAGAGGCCGGTTCTAGAAAGAGGAACTTGACTCAAAGTTGTGAATTTGGAAGCTTAACTCCAAGAATTAGCTAGAAATTGGAAGCTTGAAACTCCAAGGGTCGAGCTTAAGGGCAAATCCACCGGCAAGGCACTATGAGTAATATCTTAGTAAAGATATTTTCAAGTATGTTACTTTCCGAATGCTACTTCTGTATAAGCATCATGGATTTCTTGATTTGAAATATGAATGAGTATTCTATATGCCTACTTTTGTATAAGGCCGTTTGATACGTTAATATATCTGAATTAGGCCTAAGGCCTTTGCCGTTTTCTGTTTGCCGTTGATATGTTTCATATATCTGAATTGGGCCAAAAGCCGTTTGACACGAACGATTGGGCCAAAGGCCGTCAGACATGAACGATTGGGCCAAAGGCCGTCAGACATGAACGATTGGGCCAAAGGCCGTTGGACATGAATGATTGGGCCAAAGGCCGTTGAACATGGATGATTGGGCCAAAGGCCGTCGAACATGAACAATTGGGCCAAAGGCCGTTGGACATGGATGATTGGGCCAAAGGCCGTCGAACATGAACAATTGGGCCAAAGGCCGTTGGACATGAATGATTGGGCAAAAGGCCGTTGAACATAGATGATTGGGCCAAAGGCCGTCGGATATGAACAATTAGGCCAAAGGCCGTTGGACATGAATGATTGGGCCAAAGGCCGTCGGTTACGAACGATTGGGCCAAAGGTCGTTAGACATGAATGCAAAGATGGGCCAAAGGTCGTTTGAATATGTCATTTGATATGTTTGAATACCGTGATGGGCCAAAGGTCGTTTGAATGAAAGGGATCATGATCATGAATATGAAATACGCATGGATATGAATATAAAGAGAATAGGCCCGAGGCCGTTTGATATGTTTGAATTGGACCAAAGGTTGTTTTGAATAAAGAGTTGGCTGGACCAAAGGTCGTTTCGTATAGATGGACCCGAGGTCGTATTGTTTTATATAAGAATTGAACCTGAGGTCGTTTGTATATGGATATGATGTGTTGGACCCGAGGTCGTTTTGCTTTGTTGAGATTTGTAAGTCTGATGTGAATAAGAATAGTGGTTCAAATGTGTACATTATAAGTATGATTCATTTATGAAAGAACCTCATTCATTAACCTCTTTATTTTTATATTATTCAATGGGCGTTAGCTCACTCTTATTTATATGTATGTAGGTGAGCAAAGGGACGTTCAACCCCAGCCTTAGTGGAATTTAAGAGAGGAACCCGAGTTTTGTGAAGTCAGCCCAGGTTCCTCACGCAAGAGGCTTTGTTTATGATCTTTTGTATTTCTTTTTCTATTTCCATTGCTCATGATAGACCATGTATGTGTATAAGTTTTTGGCATGGCTGACTCTGCGTTTGAATGATCCTGGGTATATAACATGTTAACTACTGGTATGTGGTGTGAGTTATTACTAAGTATATGTGAAATGTTTTGACATGCCATGCAAGCATAGCTCGTTGGACAAAATTTTTAAGTTTGCTTCTGTTTTGGCCCTTTCACTCTATTGTTATACGCTTGTTTGGTTTGAGGTCATAGGTAATCTCATGTTTACTGGCCGGTTATAACCTTAATCTATAGGGGCGGGTTCGGGTCATGACAATTTAATTCGGAATTTAATTTATATAATTATTTTCTGAATTATTTTATTTTGTTGTTTATTTTAATTATACATTTAATTTACACACATACACCACTGGGCGTGACAATCTTAAAGTAGATTTTCGATTTTTATTTATTTCTGTGTTAGAAAAATGAATATTTTGTTTCGGAAAATTAAATAGTAGTTATATACTGTTTAATTTCTTAAATAATAGTAATGTACTGTTTAATGATTTCTTTAATAACATAGTAGTAATATACTATTTATCATTGAAATTTTGTTACAAAATATTATTCTGTATATTTTGTGTGTAAATTCTTTTTGTATAAATTTTGTGATTGGTGTATTATTATTTCGTCAGAATTATGACAACTGAAATAAACAGTAGTAAGACTGTTATTACTCCGACCTCCACACCTGTTCTGCCAGTGATGACTCAGGCAGTACTGGTAAATCTCAAGGAGAAGCTAGAAAAATTCAATGGAAATGATTTTAAAATATAGCAACAAAAGATTATGTTTTATCTTACCACATTGAATTTGGCTCGCTTCATTCATGAAAAAGCACCAGCACTGAATGAGGGAGAAATTGACCAACAAGTGGTTGTCGCGGTCGATGCATGGAAACATGGTGTTTTTTTGTGTCAGAATTATATCTTCAATGGCTTGGACAATACACTGTATAATGTGTATAGTGTTAAAATCACTGCTAAAGAACTATGAGAATCTTTAGATCTTAAATATAAGATAGAGGACGCCGATACAAAGAAATTTGTTGTCGGCCGTTTTCTTGATTTTAAAATGATGGATTCCTAGACGGTTATTAGCCAGATTCAAGATCTCCAACTAATTCTCCATGACATATATGCATAATGGATGGTTCTCAGTGAATCTTTCCAAGTAGTGGCAATCATTGAAAAATTGCCACCATCTTGGAAAGAATTCAAGAATTATCTAAAGCATAAGCGCAAGGAGATGAAACTGGAGGAACTGATAATGCGACTCAAAATTGAGGAGGACAACCGTGGTTCCGACAAGAAGTCAAAAATCCATGTCATGTAGGCCAAAGCAAATGTTGTGAAACATGGACAAGGGTCAAAGTTCAACAACAAGAAATAGAAGCATGATGGCAATGGTCCCAAATAAGGATCCATTAGTAAGATCAACAACAGGTTTAACTAGAGGTTCAAAGGCAAGTGTTTTGTGTGCAGCAAAGATGGACATCGCGCTAAGGATTGTCACGTTCGGAAGGACGAAGGGAGTTTAAGCAAAAAGCTAGCACAAGCCAACATAGCCTAGGATTTTTATCTTTCCAATGGAGTGGCAGACATCAATCTTGTTGCAGTAGTCTCGGAAACAAATTTGGTGGGCAATCCAAAGGAGTGATGGATGGATACTGGAGTAACTCGCCATATCTGTGCAGATAAGAAGATGTTCACAACCTACAAAGTGGTGGAAAGTGGGGAACAGCTTTTCATGAAAAACTCCTCTACTTCAACTGTAGAAGGACAAGGAAAGATCATGCTAAAACTGACCTTGGGGAAAGAACTCACTCTTAACAATGTACTCCATGTGCTAGAGATTCGCAAGAATTTGATTTCTGGGTCATTGTTAATCAAGAATGGGTTTAAATTAGTCTTTGAATCTGGCAATGTTGTACTCTCCAAGAGTGGCATGTATGTGAGGCGAGGTTATATGATTGATGGGCTTTTTCAGCTCAATGTAAATATAGTTGTACCAAATTTGGCTATTAATAATAAGAACACATCTTCTGTTTATATTGCTGAATCTTCTTTTTTATGGCATGGTAGATTAGGACATGTTAATTTTAATTCTTTGCGTAAACTTGTTGCTTTAGAATGTTTACCAAATTTAGAGTTTGATCCTAATCATAAATGTGAGATTTGTGTTGAGGAAAAACTCACTAAGGCATCATTTAATAAAGTATAAAGAAGTACTGAACCTCTAAGTTTAATTCACACAGATATCTGTGATTTAAAATCTGTTCAAACTAGAGGAGGTAAGAAATACTTAATTATTTTTATTGATGATTGCACTCAATATTGCTATGTTTACTTATTGAAAAGTAAAGATGAAGCCTTAGAAACTTTTAAGCAATATAAACTTGACGTTGAAAATCAACTTGGCAAAACTATTAAGATAGTGAGAAGTGACAGAGGTGGTGAGTATGATGCACCATTTGAGGAATTTTGTTCTGAACATGGTATTATTCACCAAACCACTACACCCTATTCTCCTCAGTCAAATGAAGTTGTTAAGAGAAAGAATCAAAATCTGAAAAAGATGATGAATGTCGTGTTGATTAGTTCAGGGTTACCTCAAAACTTGTGAGGGGAGGCAATTTTTTCTGCTAATTTTATCCATAACAGGGTACCCCATATGAAACTTAATCAAACACCTTATGAATTATGGAAAGGTCGGCGACCTACCTACAATTACCTAAAAGTGTGGGGATGTTTGGCCAAGGTGGCAGTCCCTAGTCCCAAAACAACTAAGATAGGACCAAAAATCGTTGATTGTGTGTTCATTGGTTATGCAAATAATAGTAGTGCATATAGATTTTAGTTTATAGATCTGAAAATCCTGATATGCACGTAAACACTATTATTGAGTCAATGAATGAGTCGTTTTTTGAACACATTTTTCCATGAATGGAAACTGAAGAGACAAGTTTAAATAAAAGAACTTTTGATACTGCTATGGGTAGTAGTGAATACCACAATGATAATGAAGCAGATGAACCTAGACATAGAAAGAGGGCTAGGATCTCTAAATCATTTGGTCTAGATTTTTTGACATACCTATTAAAAAATGAGCCTCAAAACTTCAAGGACGCAATGTCAAGTCCTGAAGCTCCATTGTGGAGAAAGGCTGTGAATAGTGAAATTGAATCAATACTGCAAAATCATACTTGGGAACTGGTGGATCTTCCACCAGGGTGTAAACCTCTTGGATATAAGTGGATATTCAAGAGAAAAATGAAAGAAAATGGTTCAATAAATAAATACAAGGCTAGACTTGTTGTTAAAGGATATAGGCAGAAGGAAGGCCTTGATTACTTTGACACTTATTCACCAGTGACAAGAATAACATCTATTCGCATGTTGATTGTGATTGCAGCTTTGTATAACCTGGAAATACATCAAATGGATATTAAAACAGCTTTTTTGAAAGGCAAGTTAGATGGGAAAATCTATATGGAACAACTGGAAGGGTTTCAACTTCTCGAGCAAGAGAAAAAGGTTTGTAAACTTGTTAAATCCCTTTATAGATTAAAACAAGCTCCGAAACAATGGCATGAAAAATTTGATCACGCTATGCTTTCAGATGGTTTTAAGATAAACGAATGTGACAAATGCGTCTATGTTAAAAGCACAGCCAAAGGCTATGTCATAGTTTGTCTTTATATGGATGACATGCTCACTATTGGAAGCAATAATGACATGATTAAATCCACAAAGAGCAATAATGATATGATTAAATCCACAAAGAAAATATTGAACAAAAAGTTTGACATGAAAGATCTGGGAGTAGCAGATGTAATTCTAGGAATAAAAATTACTAAAACATCTTAAAGATATACTTTTATCCCAGTTTTATTATGTTGAGAAGATTCTGGAGAAATTTGGAAAGCATGACGACCGTCCTGCTAAAACACCTGTTGACATTAGTCTTCATTTGTCAAAAAATACAGGTGCAAGCATATCACAATTAGAGTACTCTCAGATAATCGGAAGCTTGATGTACTTAATGAATTGCACTAGGCCAGATATGGCCTATGCTGTAAGCAAATTGAGTAGGTACACAAGTAATCCAGGGTCCAATCATTGGAAAGAAATAATTAGGGTACTTAGGTATCTAAAACATACCTAGAATTATAACTTACATCATACCAAATATCCAGCAGTACTCTAGGGGTATAGCGATGCAAATTGGATATCAGATACTAAAGACTCAAAATCCACTAGTGGATACGTCTTTACCCTGGGAGGTGCTGTAGTCTCTTGGAAATCTTCCAAGCAGACATGTATAGCAAGGTCGACAATGGAATCTAAGTTTATCGCATTAGATAAAACAAGAGAAGAAGCAAAATGGCTTCGTAATTTCTTAGAAGACATTCTAATGTGGCCAAAACCTATGCCAGCTATATCCATTCACTGTGATTGTGAAGCAGCAATAGGACAGGCACAGAATCATATGTATAACGGTAAGTCTCGACACATTCATCGAAGACATAATACCGTTAGGAATTTGCTCTCACATGGAATAATTTCCATAGAATATGTAAAGTCAAAGGAGAATATTGCAGATCCATTGACTAAAGGGCTAGCTAGAGAGCAAGTGTACCATTTATCGAGGGGAATGGGATTAAAGCCTATTACTTAAAAGTTTCCATAATGGGAAGCCAACCTAGTTGACTGGAGATCGGAAAATCTAGGTTCAAAGGGACAACTGAATTATGGATGACTTCACGTATCACTAAGGAGGTTTACTCCTACCCATTTCTATGATAAGAAGAGTGATACCTGCAGCGTTGGTAGGATAAGCTTTGCTTTTAATGATTCTTATAGCTTGGACATCCAAGTGGGGTATAGTAAGAAACTCTTAATAAGAAATCACCTATATGAGTGTGAACTGGGCCAGTTCTGTGAGAATTAAGAGGGCTAAATTCTCTAGAGCACTCATGAATTACCAGGCATTGTTCAGGGCCAAAATGAACACAACCGTAAGAACCAAATTGTGTCTGCGGATACACTATGTGTAGTCTATTGTCTTGGCTTACACAAACAGTTGAACAGTTCAAGGCATCGCGTCTACTGGTTAGCTAGTAAGTCCAATAGGCTTTCACTAGAGGAGGTTCAAAGCCAAAAGCTACCTATCTTGATGTGGTGTATCTTCTTAATGGACTCTTTCTTTGTTTGCATCTTGTTGCAAGTTCGTTATCGTGAATTCCATTCATGTGGGAGATTGTTGGAAAATGGCTTTAGAAAATCCTTATTTTTTACTAACTTTGAGCATTAATTAAGGTGGGACCCAAGCGTTATATTTAACGTTTCTAATTGGGTTAATGTCGCGTAATGAATAAAACCGTGTATTTGGTTGGTCAAAACCATTTCCGGATGAATGAGAATTAAATGCTCATTTTCGGGTTCGTGGAATGGCTTTAGGTGGGTTTCCTACACATTTGTGAAATGTGTTTGTCCCACATTGGAAACGTTTATGGATTTACATGGGTTTATATACCTTAGCATGGGATACTTAGGATGGGCCCCAAGGAGTACCCAAGTTTGTGAAAGGGTGAGGTTATGGGTAAACTGGGCTAGACCCATTAGACCCAAAACAAAAACCACACGCGCACGCCACCGCCGCCGTTCGTCCAGTCGGTCGGGCGGGTTAAGCCTAGGCTTGGACCTGGGTGCGAGTGCGTGGTGTGAAGTTGGGTTGGGCTTGTCCGGCCCAATACTTATCTTTTTAGGCCAAAAACATTTGTAATTTATTTATTTTTTTTATTTTGGTTTCAAAATTCAAAATAAATTGGTCCAAATTTTTTCCTTCACCCAAACAGGTCCTAACCCATCCGAACAGGTTCATACCTGTTGTATTCAAACTAGACAAATCAATATCTGTCCAAACAGTTCAAACAGGTTTTTTTTGGTTTGAATCTATCCGAGCAGTTGCCTATCTGTTGGCACCTGTTCGAAAAGCCACCATTCCTTCTATATAAAGCATGTTTCCAACAATTCATTTCATTCAATTTTCCCTTCAGATTTTCGTCATTCTTTTCCCCTTTCCATCTTCCTATTTTTACATAAGTTCTGCATTTATTTTAGGAAGAAAAAAAGAGAGTTACAACAGAGTTTTAGTTCACCAGACTTGATTTTATAGTGCTGTAAAATCAAGTGTTAGTCGTTGCATCCTGGGAAGTAGACGCCGATAAATCTCGAAGCACCAGAGTGAGGGCAAAATCTACTTTAAGGAGATTGTGTCTAACACAAGCCTCGACTTTATTTTTTGTAAGCATTTAATTCAGAATTTAATTTATATAATTATTTTTTGAATTATTTTATTTTGTTGTTTATTTTAATTATACATTTAATTTACACACACACACACCGTTGGGTGTAACAATAGGTTGACACCACTGCTTGCATGGCGTGTAACCAACCATTTCCCAAGATCAGATTGTAGGTCGACAGGACCTTCAACACCCAAAACTCCACTCGCTTTGTGACCAACCCATCATTGACCAGTAATATGATCTTCTCGATCGGCCATTCCACCTGAGAGTTGAAACCGACCAAAGGAGATATTATCGAGGCCAAGTCCTTGTCCGCCAACTTCATCTGCTTGAATGCATCGCAGTATATGATCTCGACCGAAATCCCCTGGTCGATCAATATTCTCTTGATGTCGAAGTCCTTGACACAAAGTGTGACAACCAAGGCGCCGTTATGAGGGGTTTGAATTCTATCTAAGTCCTTGCTTGAAAAAGTCATGATGTCTTTGATCTCAGTCTTCTCATTTTTCACGCCGGGCTGAATAGAGAGCATTTCCTTCATGTGCTCGGCCTTCTTGATCATCCCCCTGAGCTCGCAGACTCGCGCTGGCTCGATGATACCGTGAATAACATTGATGACTCCTTGCAGTGCGGCATCCAAGATAGCAAGCCCATTTGGCTCGGCTTGTCCTTGTGGGGCAGCCCTCATGCCGCAGTTAATATACTGGTCTAAATGCCCCCCTACAACCAGCTATTCCAGGTGTTGTTTCAATGGCATGCAATCCTCCGTTCGGTGCCCTCTTTCTTCATGAAAAGTGCAGCGGTATCTTGAGTTGAAGCCCCTCTGCGCGTCCTCCAATTTTGTCGGCCATCGGATATATAGCTCGCCTCTAATCTCCCTAAGGATGCGATAAATTGGGATTTTGAAGACCGTTGTGATACCAGTCCGCGCATTTAACTTTCTCTTGGCATCTTCCTCCTCGTCATGTGGAGCAGTAGCCCGGTCATTCCTGCGGCCTCTGTTTTTGTCATTGCGGCCAATTCCGCAGTGTTGCTCTCTAGTTTGATTATTAGGGTGGTTATCCTCCTACCTCACCAAGTAAACCTTCCCAGCCATACGTTTGTCCGCCACAACCGGATTTGCCTTCTCGGTTGCGGTGGTAGTGGCGACATCATCATCAACTCGAATGTGCTCGTTGATCCACTACATCAATGATTCCATGGTTGTGGGCTGATGCATCGTAAGCGAGTCACACAGTCTATGTCTGACTGGTAGACCTCGCTTGTATTGGGCAATTGCCAAATTGGTAGGGCAATCGAGGATCTTGTTGTAAGTCTCCCAATACTTGGCATTGTATGCCTTCAATGAACTACTTGACCCCATCTTGACACCCAGGAGGTGGTCAACCTCTTTCGGTGTTCGAGTATTGGTCTTGAATCTGGTGACAAAGGCTTCTGCTAGCTGCTGTCACCCTTCGATACTCCCCTCTGAGAGACTTTTGAACCACTTCAAGCCCAGCTCTCCCAAACTTGCTGGGAATATAAGGCACATCAAGGCATCATTGCGCCGATGTCCTGTCATTACTTGCCGGTAATGACTAACGTGCATGTACGGATCTGTCTTGCCATCGTATAGCATGAACTTAGGTTGATGGAATCTGGTGGGGAAGGGCGTGCTTTCAATCTCTGGAGATAGGGGAGTGGCGGTGAGTCTTGCCAAGTCTCTATCCACCAGTGCTAGAATCACCATTCTAGGTGGCGGCATGGGTACCTCCTCACTGCAATGGATTCTAGGACTCAGCCTTTGTAGTGGCGGCACTCTTTGGGACTCTCTACGGCGTGCACGTTCCTCCAAGACGTCCCTTAGGTCCCCTAAACGGGCAGAGTAAGAGTATCTCGACGTTGTCGAAGGACGCGAGGGACGGTTGCTACTATCATGCGTACGTGATCTCTCCATCGGTGGGTCAGAATCGCCAACACCGTAGCTCCTAGTGATGAAGAGGAAGGGTGTCTCCCATTGGAGCCGGCTACTCGAGTGACGAGGTTGGGTGCGCTCACTATGGTTTCCCACTCCAACAACATCCTTTCCTTTGATTTGTCGCTTCAATGTCTCCATCTCAACCGCCATCTTTCGAATGAGAGCGTTATGGTCCCTGAGTTTGTGCTCTAGGCATTGAGCGTGCGATTCTCCTTGCCGCCGATGCCCCTCAGGGCTCTGCGAATGACCAATGCTCCTCGTGCATTTGTCTCCCGCGTCTCTGGGTAGCCCTCTAGAGGAGGCCTCTAGCCATCTCTTCCCCAAATTGACTCTGGTGTGATTCCGTCGACGACATATGGCGGTGTTTCATCAATGTTCGCCATGGAAAACAGTCGAAAAAGCTTGTAGAACAAGGTTTGTTTGTCAAAAAACTTCCCACAAACGGTGCCATTGTACGGGTGAGAAATATTCGTCTCGCTACGTACCTCCTTGCTACCAAGCTCGTCCCACTCCGTTAGAACCCCATTACACTGTGAACAAAACAAAGGTGAGCTATCCGACGGGTGGGTTTGCCGGAAAACCCCTCCGACAGTCAAATTAGCTTTCTAGAGAAAAGAAAAGGCAAAAAGCTATAGAGAGAGAGAGAGAGAGAGTTTGAAATTGCTTACCTCCAACATCTGCATACTCCTCCTTTTCAAGGCTGGCCATGCAACCTCAGAGATTATAGGCGCACTACCTCTGCTATCCTTCTCTAGATAAGTGACTGTGCTTCCCTCTACATTTCTTACACGCGTAGAGACCAAAACTTCCAAATAGTGCTTGTCGCACTGCCAAACGGTATTAACGCATACCAGGAGTGGATTTCTCTCTTCTCTTTATTGGTCCACATGGGATGCTCGACCGGGCTGTTACTTGTGAACCAATAACACTACGTTGTTCGCTTCGTACCGAGCTGGATCTTAGCCGGTCTATCATAACTGACTGGAGGTGGGCACATCGTTCGGCACCTCGGCTTCTAACCGTGATCTCATGGACCGCCTGCCTCGGTGGTAGTAGCTCGAACAGTCCGCAGCTTGGTCTTCATGTGACTCTGTTACCTTAGACCTTAATGATGGGGCAGTTCTGCCCACCAGCTGAGCCCCGGGTCTAACCGACATAATATTTTACGTGGGCCTAGCTCGGCCCGGCACTACATTCCGTACGGGTCTGGCTCGGCCAAATGCACCTCGAATAACCTCAGTCTGGCCCAATGACACGTCCCAAGCTCTCTTCACCTGGCCCAACACCAAATTCTGTATTGGCGCAGCTCGGCCCACTGTTCAGCACGAATCTCCTTCTCAGGTTTGAACTTTTTTTATGAGTATCTTTTTTATTTTTTTGATCAGCAAAGGAAAGAAATATTATTAAAAAAGAAGAAGAAGGTTACAAGAGCTTGGAGAAAATTGCATCGTTGTCTACTGATTACATTCCAACTATGTTGGCACCTAATGCAAGACCAATCATGTGCACAACCAAGGATCACACAAATACAATGTTGAAAAGATTCCAACAAATTCAGCTAGCACGATCAACACCGATACAAACTCTAACCTGACTAATATTGAAACAAAGTCATTAACAAAGAAATGAAGCTCCTTGGAGGAAGACTTGAGCCAATGACCCAATCAATTTTGATAAGCTCACACAGCTCCCAGATATCAGGCTGCACTCCCTTGAACACACATTCATTTCAAAGCTTCCAAATAGACCATAAGACTGCTAAAGAAATGGCTCTCCAAATTTTCCTTTCCAGTTTTTTGAAGCACCCTCCATTCCACCAAAACAACAACTCTCAACTATCCCAGGTAAAACCCATTGAATTCCCCACCATGACAACATGGCCGACCAAATTTTCCAACTAAATGGGCATTGTAACAAAACATGAACCACTGCTTCATTCTCAGCCTTGCAAAAACAACAAAGAATAGAGGCATTAAGCACTCCAATTCTCTGCAGAAATACCGCAGTCTTCACTTTATGTTTCCATGCCAACCAAGGTTTTGAAAAGCAGTTGCGATCACCGTAATGGTTGCGATAATGCAGTAGCGGTTGTAGGGTGTAAAGGACATAATGTAACGAATGCAGTAACTGGAACTGTAATTTTTTTATTTTTCGCACAATTAAAAGAAAACTTACCGATACGCATATATTTTTTTTCAAAATCATATTTATTGGGTTTAAAATAAATTTTGATCAAATTTTGTTAATTTTAAAGTATGATCCCATATATTTCATATTTTCAAATCACAATAAAATTAGTTTTTTACATTTTATTTCAATAGTTAATGATTTTAAGAATAATTGATTTTAAATGTTTACAAATTATTTTTTATCAATACCTGAACTAACTAAATAAAAAATATTCACAATTATTAAATGAAATGATTATAAAATAAAAATTGTGCCATCAATTAAAAAAAAATTATAAAGAAAAAAAAATTCATATAGGATATTTTTTGGAGGTTTGGATCACTTGAGTATTTGTTCTTTTTTTTTTTCTTTTTTTTGGGAAAATGAAACTATTCAGAATATTGTAAAATAGTATAACGGTGTCTAACGAACCATTACGGTCGTTACGTAACACTGAAACAACCGTTACCCATGTAAATTTTCATCACACCACTACAGCGGCCGTAACGGGTAGCGGTAATTACCATAACCGTTACATAAATGGTTGTGGCCACTTTTTAAAACCTTGATGCCAACCATCCAAAACATTGAAGTTTGGGGGGAATGGTGTTTTCCAAACCATTCTACTGATTCTTAGATAAGGACCAAGGCCAGCAACACAGGACTTGTACATGGAGGAAACAGAGAACATACCTGATGACGAAGATGCCCGTTTTGGCCTATCAGCAAGCTCCAGGAGTATTGGAGATGTTGAAATCAAGAGGTTTGAAAGCCTTGTAACCTCCAAAGACATTCAAATAGATCTCTTCTTGGGTCAGCACATGAGTGGGAATTTCTGTTTAGAAGATCTCTGTTAGCTTGGGAAAAGGAGGAGGTCGCTAGGTTGCAAGGGGTACTAAGGGGCACACATGTTCTTACAGATCAAGTAGAGGATTCTTGTTTATGGATGGCAAACCCTTCAAGTTCTTACTCTGTGGGTGTCATGAAAGTGGTGGATGCTGTCTAAAGGTCCAGTCGTAAGTGCTGCTGATATGTTGTGGAAGAACTCTGCCCCACCCAAGGTGAAATTCTGCAGCTGGTTAGCTTGGAAAGGAAGACTTAAAACTTATGTGTTTTTGAAAAGGATTCGTGTGTTGAATTCGGAAGCTAACACAGTGTGCTTGCTGTGTAAAACAGAGGAGGAGTCAATGAATCATTTGCTTTTGTCGTGTCCTGTGGTATGGAAATTATGGTCAGACATGGTGAAAGGGTGGGATCTGGTTTGGGTGGTTCCAGGTTCAATTGAGGCACTGCTGCAATGCTGGGCTGGTTATAAATTCAAAAAGGTGATCCAACCATTATGGAAAGTTGTTCCCGTAGCTGTTATGTGGTCAATTTGGAAAGCTAGGAATGAATGCCTTTTTCATCAAAAGAGTGTTGATGGGTTTGATTTGGCTGAGTTGGTGAAAGTGAGGATAGCTCTGTGGTGTAAGCATAGCTATGGAGGTTTGCAGTATTCAGTGAAGGACATTGTATATAATCTCGATAGGATCAAAGTCTGATTGAGGATGTAGTGCTGTAGT